GTTACTATGTCTTTAATCTTATTAGCCACTCTTTGGAAGTTTTATATTATCATGACTAAAACTTAAATACGAGATAGAGTTTGCAACGCGCGTCGCATAGTGGTAAACGAACGAACTACTCAGGGAGAAATACAGGTCGAAGAAACGTCTATTAGATGTCTATTAGACTAGATCTAATAGACATCTAATAGACGTTTCTTCGACCTGTATTTATTCCTGGGTAGCGATTACCGAATATTACTCTTGTAATGTTCTTGCAATGTTGCTGTCACATTCTCATGAAATATTACAATTCAATGTTCCAATAATCTCTCAACAATATTACATTGCAACTTGCAAGATTGTAACATTGCTGCAATGTAAATGCAATGTTTTGTGCTGTATGGGAGGTTGACAGCAGATTGGCGGCAGAAAACGAACAGGATCTGTGCAGTGTAATTTGATATCAGATTATCGGCAGAAATCGAGCAGAACCTGCCGTCACAATTTAAATGGAATAGCGGCATTTAAATGCTTCATTACAATTTTACATTTCTCGTTTCACTTATTAAAAGTAGTGAACGAGATATGCAAAGTATGTAATATATATTTGCTTCATTGGGACAAAAAAATACTTATGTTTTAATAAATTTATTAGGCCAAATCACTGCAATATCGAATCAACTTGCGGCGGATTTTCAGTTTCAAAAATCAGTTTAATATTCTGAATTTCCTATGAAAATTGCATCAGATTATTGTATTAAACTGATAAGCTTAATTAAGCCATTCGTCACACTTTATATGCACTGTAGAATCTTGAGTACGAGTTTATGGTATATATGAAGAAACACGCCGCATAGCGGCAAACATCAAATTGCATTGCGCAAATTTTGCTCGATTTCTGCCGCCAATCTGACATCAAACTGCGTTGCACAGATTCTGCTCGATTTCTGCCGTCAATCTGACATCACACTGCGTTGCGCAGGTCCTGCTCGGTTTGTGCTGCCAATCCTGCTGTAATAATTCCGAGTAAATCCTGCTCGGTTTCTGCTACTGATTTACTGTCAAATTATGTCAGCAGGTTTTGTAACATTTCTGCTGATATTCTGCTATCATCATCTGATGTTGTTGACAGATGAAATCTAATAACAGATTTTGCATATAATCTGCAGTCTTTCTGCTGACAAAAATTTATAGCAGACGTTTGACAATATCTGTTCAAACAGACTTTGCTGACTTTGCTGACGGGCAATTGCATAGTCGGACACAGATTTAAGTTATTTTGGGTTATATTGTGAAAAAAAAGAAAAAAAGAACAATATCCTTAAAATAATATAAGCATATTTACCTTTTAAAAATCGTTGCGCGTGTGTGTGTGTGTGTGTGTGTGTGTGTGTGTGTGTGTGTGTATGTGTGTGTGTGCGCGCGCGCGCGAGTGCTGTCTGTCTTATATAATAGATCCACTTTTCATCTCCGGTTACAATACGCCACAAAAAACTCTTTTTATGCTGCTTGGCAAGCAAAGAAGTTGCGATGGACAAACGGTTTAAGATGGCATTTTCGGACAACTTATGTGGCAGCCATTTACCTTATGAATTTTTCCGAGGGCATGTAAGCGTTTGCAAACAGCCATTTGAGTAACATCTAACACTTTCGATAATTCTAAAAGCGTTTGAGATGGATGAAAATCCATCTCAAACGCTTGAAGTTTCGGCATCCTCAAACTTTTTCGGCTGTCCTGAACGTTTTTTGTCTTCCACGCTAGAATCACCACTTCGAAAACGTTGAAACCACTCTATACATGTTTTTTTGCTTCCTGTTTTTTGCTTTTTGTCTGTTATCTTTTTGCCATTTTCAGCACTGTTTTACCGATAATCATGTTTCTTGTCACGTGTTTCTTGTTTCTTACGAAGTTCGTCAATTTTTATCTCGAGCGACAGAAAACAAAGAAACATCGTATGACAACAATGGTATCGGATATTTATTTATTTTATTTAATCGATATTCATAGTTCATACATTAAAATTATCTTAAAATATTACCTTAAACATCATTAGTCAATAAGAGTGCTGTTGAATATTGATCTATGATTAATCAATGTAAAATAACATTTTTCTTTGGAAATTCAGAAGAAACAAATTGTACATGACAATGTTTCACAGTTCCATATGACAAAAGTACAAGAAACAAACAACAAAAAGCAGAAGGCACGAAACAAGACGCAAAAAGCACATTGTAGATGAGCCTTAAGTCTCGGACAGTAAGCGATGCGTTTCAGCTGCAGTTTTCTTCATGTCGAAATAGTGGAGAAGTACATGTCGAAAAAAATACTTTATTACGATTTATTTTTCATCGATTAAAAAATCTCTCTGTTTACACAATAATCAATCTTTGCACACTAAATTGTATTGACCAATGTTTATTCTTCATAAAACAAGCAACTTCAAACATCAAAATTTATTTCGTCTGTAGCTAGCACCATCTACTTGTGAGATACGGAAACTAAGTTTAACACCTAATATAATACTTCGATAATCCCAAACGGAGAAAATTATGGGTGGATCCCGGGCAACCATGCACTTCGACACCAAAACAAAATATTCATGGACATAAGGCTCTACTGTGTGTTTGGTGGGACCAAGAAGGCGTTATTATGAGCTGTTGCATCCAAATCAAACTGTTACCGCTGATCGCGACCGACAACAACTGTATCGATTGAATGATGCATTGATGCAAAAAAGGCCATTTATAGCTAGTAATCGACGCAAAGTAATCTTTTTGCTCGACAATGCGCGACCGCATGTTGCAAAAATCGTGAAAGACACTCTTTTGGAGTTCAAATGGGAAATTCTTCCACACCCAGCGTATTCTCCAGACTTGGCTCCATCGAATTATCACCTTTTCCGATCGATGCAACACGCGCTCGGAGACACACACTTTTCCAGTTATGAAAAAGTTCAGAAGTGGGTGAATGAATGGTTTGCTTCGAAAAATAGCGCATTTTATCGTCGCGGAATTAGTCTCCTACCGGAAAGATGGGCAAAAGTCATAGAAAATAAGGGAAAATATTTTGATTAATGTATTTATTTTATTCTCTTTCTAATAAATGAATTTTGTAAGACGAAAAATGACGGAAACTAAGTTTAATACCTAATAGTATATATTATATATAGTATAGTATACGTAAAATATAGTAAATATAGTATAAGGTTAATATAGTAATGTAATAGTAATATATAATAATATAATATATACGACAACTTTTTTGAAAGGTAATATATACGACAGCTTTTTTGAAAAGTTAATATATACGACAGCTTTATGTACAAGAGTTTTATAGAAGTTTTATAGAAATAGTTAACAACTTTTTTCATAGATTTTAATTTCACTTGGCGCTATTTCCTGATATTATATTTTTTTGTAGTATATTATACATGATTTTCGACTGTGTGTGTATAACCCAGCAAACAAAAATGGAATTGAAATGAATAGAAATGGATTTGTTTGGTCCGTGCCGAATCCAGATTCTGATCTTCTGAATCTATTTCTATCCAATTAAAGTTTTCGAATTTTTTAAATCCATTTTAATCCATGACGTGGGATTGAAACGACGTGATTCCTATTCTTTCAATCCAAAAAAATGTTTCACGGGCCACGCAATCCATTTAAATCCATGACATGGGATTAAAAGTAAGTAATTGTTATTCATTTCAATCCAAAAAAGTTACGCGGGCCCTGAATCCATTACAATAAATTGGTACTCTGTTCATATACATGGATAGAAAGGAATTCATTAGCACTGTTTTCAATTCCGTTCAATTCATATACGTAGATTCAGAATCTGGATCTAGAAGGATAAAAATGGTTTGAAAATTTCAATCTATTTTAATCCATTTTTGTTTGCTGGGAAGCCCGGTTAGCCGCCTAACAGTTCTGCTGGCGCGAAAATAAATGAACTTTGGATGTAACCGGAGCTTTCGAGTATGTAATACTTAATCCAAGAATAAATAACTTTCGACTTATGATTGAGTTTGTTATCACCGTATAATGATTAGAGAAACGAGAGAATCTTGAGGATAAAATATATTCTGCACAAACCTATTTATTACTGATGCAATCCAGACAGCACACATGTTCAAAATCGGGACAAAGACGTCTTAAAAATGTCTTTTAGACATCGTGATGTCTTTAAGATATCTTATGTTTCGATTTTGAACATGTGTATTGCCTGGGAAGTAAACATTTATAGCTGAAAAGAGCGTTTAGGAATAAAAATATACGTGAGTCAAAAATTAATTTTTTTCTATGTATATTTAAGCTATTTTATACATAGAGACTTATTAGCCAGTACGCTTTAATTCTTACGTAACACTTTCTGTATTGCATTTTTTGCTTTTTGAACACCAAGACGAAATTGGCCAAACTCTGGACGAATTCTCATTCCACGATAATAATACACCAAGCTCATTTCAAAGTCACCCAGATGATAAAGAGCTTCTGCCTTGCAGTATATCGCTTTAGCATTACTGGAATCTTTAGGATTCACTTGTAATGCCATTTCAGCATCATCCAGCGCCTTTCGTGGATTGCCCAATAAAAGATGACATTTGCTTCGTGCTATTAAAGCATTCTTGTCGTTAGAGTTTAAATCCAGTGCCTATAAAAATAAATATTTTTAAATTAAAGTTTTGATTAAAATTTTTAACAAAATTAACAAAATATTGAGTATAAAAAAAAATTAGTAACTTGGAAATTTCCGACAATCGAACTATTCAGATGGTTTAAATCTTGATTGAACTTGAACATTGCATTATTAGAACCTTTCAAGTTAATAGTATAATATATGCAGTGGCGCACCCATGTGAGGGGGGGGGGTTACCCCCCAAATTAATTAATACACTTATTTTTTATTAATTTAACTAGCAAAAGTAAAAAATACTGTAGTTAAATAAAATTAGCGTTCAAACATTTATATTTTTGTTCTGTTATTAAGTATAGTCACAATTTATAATTCAAAATTTATGCCAATATCCTTGCACACAAATAATTATGATATCGTGTTATGATATGATGAAACACGATATCAATTTATAATTATGCTACTATAAAAATAAATTGTACTTTTTATTAAACGATG